TATAAAAACTATTATAAACACAAGATTTTAAAAGCGAGATATTGGTGGGATTCATTTAAACAATTTTAATATAGGCTTCCCTTATTTAATCCCAACTTTTCATTTCTTTTGGGAACATATTTCTCCGAGTGCCCTTTACTTTATTTTAAAGAGAAAGAAGGCGTGGTTGGGGCACGAGCAGTTCGCAGCGCAGTAAATTTCAAGCGTTTCATCAATGTCACTGTAAAAGGACTCCTCGTCCTGGCCCACGCATATCCTTTTGTATTTAAAATGTTTGCCTGCCTTCGCCTGATGAACACAGAACACAGCCAAAAGTTTCTTTTTCTCTCTGCTCGCAACAATTTCATTATCTGCGGAGGAGCGGAGGGCGGGAAGGGGGCGGGGGGCTGTGAGGGAAAGTGGGGGAAAGTGAGTGATAGGGCAGTTGTTGTGTGACAGGCGACACGCCGCAGCAAGTGGCAAAGGACTTTCTCCCCCTTTCCTTTTCCTTTTCCCATTTCGCTCCAAGATGCGAGCAAATTTTTATGGCAGAAACTTTTTCATAGCATTTTTCAGAGCGCTGATTCATGTGTGCACAGTACAAACAGGATAAACTGGTCATGCTTAAAAACGACTTGACAAGCTCTGAAAAACAAAACTTTGATTTAGTAGTAATGTCTGTAACATTTGTGGCATAATGCTTAAGAGATATTACCTAAGAATTTTGAGTGGAATTAGTTATTTTCGCAGTTTTTACTAATTATCTTTATTTAATTCTTATTTATTATTTATAATTGTTTATTGAAAGAAAGAATTAGTTATTTTTTAGAGATCGACAAATTCGATGACTGTGAATGATATGTCGGTATCTGATATATCGGTAGAAAAAAATAAATAAATTTTATAACAAAAAGGAATAGGTTGCACATAAGTTTTTTAGGTGGATTAATTTTAACGAATATATTGAATTAAGCATATTAAATTTAAAATTTTCCTTTGGACATATTTAAGCCAAGAATGAAATTACCGTGTAGGTCCTTATTATTTGTACAAAATGGGAGGACCCAAGAAGAGGGCGTGACTGCAGCCATAATGCGGCGTTAATACGGCCAGCAGTTGGTGGTTCATTCTCTTCCAAAAAAGAAAGAAAAACAGGGGTGGAGAAAGAAAAGCATCCTGTGGCGAATTTGCATAGGCTTAATTTAAATTCCCTTAAACAGCGGACCGATATGTCTCCGCCTATGTCTGTGTGGATAGGGCCAAAAAGGACAATGATCAGCGGACCTTTTTTCCACCGAAAACGAAAACTTGGCGAGGCTGAAACCGAAGAAAAGCAAAAGAAACGTGGAAATCAGAGAAAACAAGGCAGAAAAGGTTGCACCCTTAAGTTTGCCAAATAACTGCAGGCGAGCTGGGAAACTCACACATACAAGAAAAGGATTTACCAGGGGACACTGGAGACCTTTAAGCGGCGACATAACAAAATCAAAAGGATTTTGCGTATAAGTTGCAAATTAAGTTGCCCTCATCCTTGTTTCCACGCTCCTTTTCCATTTGTTCATGTCCTTGTTGCTCCTCGCTAGTCCTCCTACCTCGGGTTTTCCGTTGCGTTTCCAACTTCATCATCTTATGTGCTTATGATATCCTTTTTCCCTGCGGCTAAACAGCAACACACAGAAACAACAATAACAAGCAGTGAAACATGTCCTTGGCCTCGGCACACGCTTCCTATTTGGGTTAAACTTGTCAGCGATGGCGGTGAGTGGGGGGCATGGGTTAAGGATTGGGTGCTGAGACCTTAAATTAACAGATGCGATATCAGGAAAAGTCCCAAGAGCCCAGTTGAACGACGCGATCCTATCTAATCCGTAAAGGACAAATAGTCATAAGCGGAACATTGTTGCACCTGAAGATTGTTCGGATTACAGAAGGTTTTAGTTAAATTAAGTTAAAATAGGTAAAGTAAACCATTTATATATAAATATAAAACCTATTGGAACAAGTTTTTCGTCGATGTTGCCAATATAATATCATCTTATGAGATTAGATTAACTATTAAGCAATCCAATTAAATGGAGAGTTACTAATCAATAATAGAACCAGATGAAGTGTTATTATGTATTATTTTTAAAATTGTTTGTAGTTTAGGAACAATTTTACTTGTAAATATTTAAATATACTTTAAAAATCTATGATAGGCATTCACTTAAATATGTATGAAGCACATAATTCAATCTACCAATTTATATAACCATCAAAAACTAACCACTAGAAATGAATTAAGTATACAAAAAAATAAAATGTTTCGTAATATTTTAAAAATAACCAAAAAATCATCACATAAAATCAAACTGACACACATTGCATAATCCCAAATGTTTAAGAACTCGTTTATGAATTTTCCATTTCCTCTATTTTCCTAGCATGCTTGTGCTTTGTAATAACCCTGTCTGAACCTCGGAAAAGCGTCTTAAAAATGTAGAAGGGAGCAAATGTCTGGCTTAGAGCTTATTTAACCATTCCAATATTGTGTGGCCGTTAGCCTCTGTCCCGAAAAGAAATCCTTTAATTGAGTGCACACTTAGGCAGGGCAGCAGACGGAAAAGGAAAAAAGACACTCACCCATTCACCCACACTCCCACACACCCGCACAACCACATATTCACACCCCAAAGGGGTGGAGTCCTTGCCGCCTGACTGCTGCCTTTTTATGCGCTTTTAGCGCCATTATCCTTTTACGATTATCGCCGCTAAAGCGAATTGACTGTTTGACGTTCAATTGAAATTTTGCATTAAAGCTCAATGGCTTAACCCCTTCAAATTATGCAATAAGTCCCCAGGACCCCCAGCCTTATCCCCCGTCCCACTTTCGTCCTGCGAAACTCCGCCATCAGCAACGCAATCCCAAGCTGAGCCCAAGCAGCTTTCAGCTCAAAACTCGCAAATGGCAAATGGTTCAGGGACATGAGGGGGCACAAGGGGCTAAGGGGTCTTGGCAGGGGGAGGAGGGGGAGGGGGAGGGGGCAGGATGCGGAGCAAGGATACTGTGCTGCTCGGAGATCCAGAGCGATGCCAACGGAACGGAACGGAGCGAGCATCGAATGGCAGCCAATTAGCGCGCATTGCTCATACGCCACGTTTGTCATGGCAGCCAGACGCCCACACACACACTCTCTCACACATACACACACTCTCGTGAGCACACACACACACATGTGCCAGGGCTTCCCACACACTCCAAAAAGTGTATTTCTATTCAATTTATGTGGGTTTAAATTCTTATTGAAAACAAATATAGATTCTTCTTCGAAAGGATCGGTTTAAGACGGAAAGCAGTTGAAGTTAATGTTTAATTAATTGACATTTAAGACCACAGAAAAATTGGTGTTTAAAAATTAATTTGTATATCGTTAGTTCGAATATATAATAATATATTTTCTTCCCTTTTTTAAATCGGTTTCATTTATAATAAAGATGGAAATAATTTCAGCAGTAAGAATCAAGTCTTTAACGGATTTTCCAATATTTTATTGCAAACACAAAAATGGCTGAGTGCACTCGCTTTTCTCTCAGTGCTGGCCCCTCGCATAGCGGAAACGGAAGTTGTAAGGGGATTTTCAATTTGCAATTGAACTGATTCTGATTTTTTGGCTTGCTCCTTTTGCTCGGCGCTCATTTTATGGCTGACTTGGTCTGCCGTAGTATTTGGGGGCGGGGGAGCGGGCTGCGGAAATGTAATCATCGCAATCCCCCGAGTGGGCGGCAGAGGGGGACAGGGGGGCGGTGCAGTGGGCTAGGTGGCGAATTGTACATATATACTTACATTTAATTTCCACTAATTGAATCGAAATCGATCTCTCGCTCCCTTGCTGCGGAAAAAAGCCCTTCACAGGGCCTTGACGTTTGCTTTTTGGATTGCGGCGGGCAGAGGTGTGAGCTGGGAAATTCGGTCGGTTTTTGGGGCGTGGCCGCTTTTGGCGCATTAACAAACTTTTCCTATAAATCAACGAAATTTTTTTATAATCTCTTTTTGGGTTCACCACTCCTCTGATGTTCGGGAAAGGATTAACTGCGAAGGGAATCCGCATGCCAAAGAGTCAGACGAAAGTTGAGGTGGGCGGAAAATTTCAGGGGGAGGGGCGGCAAACGTTGCACCATTATGGCTTCTAATGAGCAAAACGCGTCGGTGGGTAAATTGCTTTTCACCGACTAGGAAATTATCGCGATAAGTTGAGGGAAATAATCACTCGATAATCGCAGTTGGTGGTGGGGTTTTTGAAAGGGTTCTCTCCTGCTTGAAAATATGAAAGGAAATGTTAGTATAATTTAGATTAACTGATATGGCTTTAACGAAGCTTTCCATAATCGATTTGGTAGCAAGAATCAGTAACAATTGAAAAATATAAGGCTTTTAAGTGATTAAGGCGCTTATAAACGATTTAATATTGACTTAATCTATTGAAGCACATGTTTAATACAGAGTCAATGAAAAATACTTTCCACAAACTGTCGAAAATAAGATTATAATTTTAAGACAATTATTTATTTGTTTATTTTTTATTGGCATTAGAGAGTAAGTGAGAACTCTTTTAGATCATATATGCCCATTATGGGCTCCTGGTTTGATAAATCAAACGAACTTAATTAAAAACAAATTTAAAAACTCCACATAAATAAATGAGTTTCTATTAATATTTATAAAAAATAAGTGTGTCTTGGAATAACAATATATCTTAACAATGTTACCCCCATACGATTGCCCATATTGCTAATTTGTTTCAATACCATCGGTAAATATCAATGCTTTCTTATTATTTAATTTAAGATTTTAATCCGTTACTTTTATTTTAAACGGCTTGCGTTACATTTTTTTTTGAATCGTATAATTGGTTTTTTTCAGCTGACTTGCAAATTTCCGAAGTGTGGGGTTTACAAATATTATAAAACTTTTGACAAATTTTCAATTTTCCCTTTTTCTGGGCATGAATGATGATTTGGATAAAGAAAAAAAAGTCTTGATAAAAGTTTGAAAAGAGCAAACGCTTTATTCAGTAAAATACTTTCTAAAAATACTAAAAATTTGTTGGACACAGTATCATTGATTTTTTTCAATAATCTTTTTTTTTCGCGTTAATAATCCCCGGCGTTCTCCTCAATGTCCCGGAAAGTAATCATAATATTTTCATGGAGCTTTTCCATAATCTCCAATACAACCGGTTCGCCCAGCTTGGGATCGATGAACTTCATGGTGGAGAGCTCGTAGAGAATATTGGATGCCCTAGTCCGGATCAATCCCCAGGTGACCCGCGCCTCGTTGTTGGCCGTATTCTGCACCGCCAGGATGGCCGCCTCGTAGAAGGCCATCATGTTCTTCAGCATGCTGATGGTCTTGAAGAAGGGACAGAAGGCATCGTACGGACTATAGGAGTTCTGCTGCAGGAAGTCGTCCTTCAGCATCTTGGCCACCTCGAGCGTTATCTTGTCCTCCTCGTTCAGTGACGACTTGCCCACCAGCTGGACGATCTCAGCCAGGTCGTCCTCCTCCTGCAGCACCTTCTTGGCCTTGGCTCTGAGCTGGGTGAACTCCGGATTGGACTCCTCGTAGTAGGTGTCCAGGGTGCGCATGTACTTGGAGTAGGACTGCAGCCAGTTCACCGACGGAAAGTGCTTCCTCTGGGCCAGCTTCTTGTCCAATCCCCAGAAGACCTGGACAATGCTCAGCGTGGCGGAGGTCACAGGGTCGGAGAAGTCACCTCCGGGCGGCGACACTGCTCCCACAATCGAAACGGACCCACTGCGATCCGGACTCCCGAGGCACTTGACCAATCCGGCCCTCTCGTAGAAGGATGCCAGACGGGCTCCCAGGTACGCCGGATAGCCAGCATCCGCAGGCATCTCCGCCAGTCGACCCGAAATCTCCCGCAGCGCCTCCGCCCATCGGGAGGTGGAGTCGGCCATCATGGACACGTGGAAGCCCATGTCGCGGAAGTACTCGGACAGAGTGATGCCCGTGTAGATGGAGGCCTCTCGAGCAGCCACCGGCATGTTGGAGGTGTTGGCCACCAGCGCGGTGCGCTTCATGATCGACTCCATGGTGCCGTTGACTTCCACCTCCAGCTGCGGGAAGTCCCGGAGCACCTCGGACATCTCGTTTCCTCGCTCCCCGCAGCCCACGTAGATGATGACATCGGAGTTGGAGTACTTGGATAGGGACTAAAGAGACCAATTTAAAAAAATTCGTCAATGATCTACCAAAAATTAATTGATTGAGGGATGAATTCAATTCATTATTATAAATATTACCGAAAAAGCGTCAAGCAAATAATAAATAAAATCTTATGTAAATTGATATTATACTTTGGAATAGCAATAAATTACTCCATTATCGTTGCATCTAAACAATATTTCGCTTACAATTCCATAAATAAATGTTTGCCAGTGTAGAAGAGGGTCAATAAAAATAAATCGACCTGATTTTATCTAGCAATAAATATTGTAAATTCCATCAGAAATTGTTTTGTTGTGGATTGATTTTAAAAAGCTGCGATTAAATTAGTTCGTTATATAGGTACAAGTCAACAAAAAATGACTGCATGAAGATTATTCGGTATAATTAAGAAAACTATTTTGTAACAAACTGCACTATAATTAGTTAGTACTATTATCTTGTCCTCAACTGTATGTATGTGCGACTGGGAGCAATCCATAAATTAATCATATCTGTTAAAATAATTAAACAATTTTTGTATTTATGAAACAACATTATTCCGTTATCATTCACTAAACTCAGTAAATTAAACAAATTTTAGTTTATATATTACACTTTTCTTCATTTTGATTAATGATTCTGCATTCTCACAATCTGTGCAAGCTCCTATTTATATTTTCTTATATTTTAATATTTAAGTCAATGTGGTAAATAATTTTAAGTAAGGCATATTTGCTTAATTTAGATTATATTTAGTTTCATTCTAAAACCAAAAAAATTGTGTTGTGCACGCAAACTAAGCTTATTCGGCAAGTGGAAGTGCAAAATTGTATTTAATATTATTAGGTCGTTTCTTATTACTTCTAAAGTCATTTATTCTAGATGCAATATAATTGAAATAATCCTATTCCTGTATGTGCCTAAACAACTAAAATACAGTCCTCAATTTTTTTACTTGACTACTACTAATACTACCACCAATGGAAAAAAGGATTTCGGGAAAGTTAGGTCGAAATAGCCTTAAAACGGAGACTACTTTGCGTAGAAACGGACAGGTGGATGTGGTTAAATTGATGATTTATACTTTATGTGATCAAAAACGTCTTCTAAACTATGTTAAAAAATAAATTAAATGCTTTCCAACTGATTTTTAAATAATTATGTTTTGTATGTACGTATTTTTTAAACATGATCAGCATTAAATATCTCCCTCACCTGCGAGATGACGGTCTTTCCGCAGCCAAAGGCCCCTGGAATGGCGGTGGTTCCGCCCTGGACGCACGGGAAGAAGGCGTCCAGGACCCGCTGGCCAGTGAGGAGGGGCGTGTTGCTGGGCAGCTTGTCCTCCACCGGACGACACTTACGCACCGGCCACACCTGGAGCATTGTGTGGCGCGTGACCTCGTCGTTGAACTCCGTCTCGATGATCACGTCGTCCACGCAGTAGTCTCCCGGGGGAGCCAGCCACTTGACACGCCCCTTGCACCTTGGAGCCAGCATCAGCCGGTGGTCGTGCATCATGCTGTTCTCAAAAACCGATCCGTAAATATCCCCGCCGGTGACCAGCTCATCGATCTTGATTTTGGCGGGGGTGAACGCGTAACTTATGTCCCTGGGCAGGGCGGGCACATCGATGCCCTTGGGCACGTAGATGGAGTTGGTGATCTGGTTGATCGTTCTCAGGGGTCGCTGGATGCCATCGAAGATGCTGCCCATGATCCCGGGACCCAGTTCCACGGACAGCGGCTTGCCCGTCTGGAAGACCGGATCGCCCACACTTACGCCCGAGGTGTCCTCGTACACCTGGATGGTGGCCATGTCGCCCTCCAGCCGGATGATCTCGCCCACCAGCTGGTAGTGGCCCACGCGGACCAACTCGTACATGGCGGCTCCGGCCATCTCCTCGGCATTTACCACCGGACCGGACACGCCGAAAATACGACCCCTGTGGGGTTCCTCCTCCTCGTCCTCATCAATCGAATAGGTGTGCGTTCCCATCACCTCCTCGTACACATAGCCCGAATCCTCATTCTTCGATGTTTCCATAGTTATGCGAAGGCTCTTGGAATTACTAGCGGCCAGCGTCGATGGTTCCTGAAGCTCAACTTCATCGGCTTCATCATTCACAGGTTGGCTACCTTGGGCGGGAAGGAGTATCGGGGCGGGGGCGGGGGCGGGTGAGGTTTCGGGACGCGGACAGGTGCAGGTTCGGCAGGTGCACTTCTTGGGCTTGTCCAAAGGCATCGGCCTGGGCTGAACAAAAAGGGCGGGGGCGGTACCGGGTTCCGAGCTGGAACTGGAGCTCTGAGGAGTGGACGAATCGCTAGAGCTCACATCGCCACTAGTGCTCGAGGTAAGGGGTGCAATCCAGGTCTTCTCGTTATCCATTTTGATTAAATACACAATATCAATTTCTACTTCAACTTGTAATAATTTGTTTTTATTTTGTCAAACATTCAAAAGGGTCAGAAAGTTAAGGAAAGAGTGAGATGATGATAGAGAGTGGGACAGAATTTAAGAATATATCTTAATTATTTGTTTTTTACTTCTAGTCACATGCAATGCAGTTTTTCGATATATTTCTCAAATCCTTCTACGCCTGAAACTCTTTTACATAAGGGACAATGTGAAAAATTTTTTAACTTAGCTATCAAGTCCGAACTCTAAATTAAAACCAACTGCTGAAGTATATGTTTCTCAAAAAACCAGTGAAATCCACTTTCAATTACATTAAATGTATTTGTTGTTGCACTTTATTCGTACATTTAATATTTCATACTTTAAATATTTACATAAATTTAACAAACAAACAAGGAGAAAACATGACTTTTTCACAAATAAACAAGAATTTCCATTCATTAAACAATAATACTATTTATGCATGCATTTGTATTTGTGTCTTTTATGTATGTGTATGTGGGTGCGCGCCAGTGTCCGTGTACTTTTATTCAAGTGTGTGTGTGCGTCTTTTGTTGCTGTTGTTGTAAATGGAAGTACATAGAAGGACGTTGTTGTTGTTGCTGTTGCCTTAAGCGGCCCTCTGTGGGCGGAGGGGGGCGTGGTTAGGGGAAGTATTAACCGCAGGCCGGAATGTTTACATCTCTCGCAGGCACCAAAAAGTTGTGGAATTTGTTGGACTTTCGTTTTACTTCGATTGCAGCACGGAATTGTTGGTGTTTGATTAGGCTTTTTCGGGTGGTTTTTGACTGCTTTCTTTTTTAAAAGTTAACTATATAACAAATATAAGATTAGAGTGTAAAAGTAGGGCCAACGGGGTCTCTAGTCCTCCAGATTCCTGAAGGCCTGCTGCAGGTCCTCGTGCAGCTGCTCGAAGTCAGCCTTGATCTTGGCCTCACCATCCTTAACAGGGTCCTGAAACCGATTGGAAAATATGGTTAATAAGCCAGTTTATATTATTAGAGTGTCTATGTCAACCCACCTTGAACTTCATGGACGACAGTTGGTACATAATGTTGCCCATAGCCTCGCGGATCACGTTCCAGGTGATCTTGTTCTCGGACTGAGCCGTCGACTCCACGGAGTGGCGGGCCAGGTCGTAGAAGTCGATGATGTTCTTCAGCATGCCCACGGTCTTGTAGAAGGGGCAGAAACGATCGTACGAGGAATAAGAGTTCTGCTGCAGGAAATCGTCCTTCAGCAGCTTGGCCACCTCAAGCGTGATCTTGTCGGTCTCGGCCAGAGAGGCCTTGCCCACCAGCTGCACGATCTCAGACAGATCCTCCTCCTCCTGCAGGATCTCCTTGACCTTGGTACGCAGCGGCACAAACTCGGGGAAGTTCTTGTCATAGAAGTCATCCAGGGCACGCATATACTTGGAGTATGAAATCAGCCAGTTGATCGAGGGGAAGTGCTTGCGCTGGGCCAGCTTCTTGTCGAGACCCCAGAACACCTGCACGATACCCAGAGTGGCGGAGGTCACGGGATCAGAGAAGTCACCACCAGGAGGAGACACAGCTCCCACAATGGACACGGAGCCCTCGCGCTCGGGGTTACCCAGGCACTTGACGCGACCGGCACGCTCGTAGAAGGAGGCCAGACGGGCGCCCAGGTAAGCTGGGTAGCCGGAATCGGCAGGCATCTCAGCCAGACGACCCGAAATCTCACGCAGAGCCTCGGCCCAACGGGAGGTGGAGTCAGCCATCATGGACACGTTGTAACCCATGTCACGGAAGTATTCAGACAGAGTGATACCGGTGTAGATGGAGGCCTCACGAGCAGCCACAGGCATGTTGGAGGTGTTGGCCACCAGGGCAGTACGCTTCATGATGGACTCGGTCACACCGTCGATCTCCACGGACAGCTCGGGGAAGTCACGCAGTACTTCAGACATCTCGTTACCACGCTCGCCGCAACCGACGTAGATGATCACATCGGAGTTGGAGTACTTGGAAAGAGCCTGAGGACAGATAAGCACATTATTAGGGATTCTACTTTAACTTAGTGAACAGAGGGTCACCTGCGAGATCACAGTCTTGCCGCAACCGAAGGCTCCGGGAATGGCGGTGGTACCGCCCTGGACGCAGGGGAAGAGCGAGTCGAGGACACGCTGTCCGGTGAGCAGGGGGTGGTTGGCGGGCAGCTTCTCGGTCACGGGACGTGGCTGACGCACAGGCCACACCTGCAACATGGTGTGCTTGGTGATCTCGCCATCGAACTCCGTCTCCAGGACGACATCGTCGACCTTGTAGTTGCCCGAGGGCGCGATGTAGCGCACTGTACCCTTGGCGCGGGGGTTCACGATCATCTTGTGCTTGACCAGGGTGTTCTCGTGCACCAAACCGTACAGGTCTCCGCCGGTGATGTGGGAGCCGACCTTGACGTTCAGGGGGTTGAATTCCCAGCTGGCCACGCGCGACAGACTGGGCACGTTCACACCCTTGGGGATGTAGATGGACTCGGTCAGCTCGTTAATGTCCTTCAGGGGACGCTGGATACCGTCAAAGATGCTGCCCATGATGCCGGGTCCCAGCTCCACGGAGAGGGGCTTGCCGGTACGCAGCACGGGATCGCCGACAGTCACGCCGGAGGTCTCCTCGTACACCTGGATGGTGGCCATATCGCCCTCCAGACGGATGATCTCGCCCACCAGCTCGTAGTAGCCCACGCGGACCAACTCGTACATAGCTGATCCCGACATGGCCTCGGCGGTGACGACTGGAATGAGGGGTTAATCGGGTTAGAAGTGTTTGAATTTACCATGAAGTCGATGTTTTGTAAGTGTTGTATTTTCTAATATTAGTGTCTTTATTGAAATTTTTTTGTCAGAACCTTAAATTAATCTATTATTTAATTTGGTTTTTTATGTTTCCGCCAGTAAAAATTTTTGAAAAATATTTATAAAGATTTGTTGCCAATAATTTATTTATTTAGTATGAACGCAAAATAGCAATAGAGCAATTAAGAATTAATTTTTTATGTCAGGACAGTTAAGGTGAATTTGACTTGGTTTTAGTTTAACCAAAAGACATTGTTAAAGCTCTGGAACTATAAATAAATAATACAAGTTTCATAAAGATCTAATTTTATTGAACGTCTTTAAAATATATAAGCAATAAATTGCAAAAGCATTTGGAGATGATAGTTCAATTTATAAATTCGACTATTTGTTTTTACTTGAAAATAAAATGTTGGTAATCGAAAGGTTAGATAACCAAAACAAATATATTTAATATTATAAAAATTAAAAGTTCTTCGATCAAGAACATGCAATTTATTGTTGTACATACATGGCACATTTTAAGCAGTATTTGCCAATATTACTTTATGTTTAATTGAATTAAAACGTTTAAGACGTATTTACACATATTGAAATTATTACTCTTAGTAAACACTAATGGTAATAAAGTATTTCTTTTTAGTTTTAACTACTTACCAGGGCCAGAGACAGCGAAGACACGTCCATATTTGGACTCACGCTCCTCATCATCGAAACGCTTAAGGTTGGACATTTTGCTTTATTCTGTTTCTACAACTGCAAGGGAAAATTAAAAGGGGAAATTATAAAATGCTAGCTGGAAAAGGGCAAAGATAAAGGTGAAAAATTTCTTATCACTAATTGCTGGTTGGCCCATTGTCAGCTGACAAGAGCGCAGGTGTATAAGTGTGTCTTTCTCCCCGATTTCCAGGTTAAGTTTATGGATAACTAGCAGCTGCTTGCTTTACTGATTTAAGGTTATAGCATACTAATTTTCACTGATTTCATTATTTTTTAACTCCCCCTCTTCGATTATGCTGCGTAAAACTTGAAAAGCAGAGCTTTCGTTTCACGTGACAGAGCTTTTAAAGTTCGAAAACAGTAATTTGCTTAACTATAATCGCTAAATAAATAAAATAATAATTCGGAAAACACTCTCTGATGATGTTTAATTGAGCTGATAAATGTAAATGAAACGTTTGTTTTTTTTAAATATGCGGGCTGCACTTTTTATCTGAAAAAAAAATTGGGAGAGACGAAAAACAAGAGAGTCAGAGAGCAACTCTCCACTCTCGCTCTCTCCATTCGAGTTCGAATATTTGACAATTGGCTTTGACGTTGATCACAAGACTACTGTCATTGCCGTCAGCTGACAAATGAAAAAATGGGGGTAAGGGAAAAAGTAAAAATCTTGGGACCGCCTTTTTAAGTCGAGTCTCCATATTGGTTTTTTATCAGAAGAGCAGAAAACTAAAATCCACAACTTCTGTTTCGAAGTTCGAAATGGGAGAGAGAGGCGGCGATCACAAGACCTCCGGTGCGAAAGAGATGGGGCGAGCACGGGGAAGGGGGTCAGCTGACAAGGCAAAATAATTTTCCACGCGCAAATTTTCACGTTTTTAGACCGCACTTTTCTTGGCTCCATTAAAAACTAATACATTTTGAGGACTTCGGGGGTTTGGCTTGAAATGTGTACTGCACTTATTATCTAACACACTTGCAGTCCGTGTGCGTGTTTTGGCTCTCCGCTTTGATCGCTGCTTCGTCACTTTTTCGGGGCGAACTCAAGGCGGATCTTATCGCCCGCATTCTTTAACTATTTAAATTGCCCAGAACCGTTTTTAAACGTTATTTATATTTAATTATTTGCTTTGTGGGCGTTTGTGGGTGGAGGGGGCTTACTTTACTGTGTCTTCGCGTTCACCTGGCGAACGTGTGATTGCTGCTTTTCTCCAACAGAACGAACGAAAACCGACTGAGCCGCAGTAATATAACGTAGACGCTCGCACTTCGAAAAGCTCCGGGTGCGATTCGATATCGATTTCGTCCCATCCGATCGTGAGCTTCCAAGCGAAGTTGTGAGCTGATATCGAGTGTGAGCGGAGCTTTCGCCAATCGAAGTGCGCGAGTGAGACGGATCGAGAGGCGGGTAGCGTGCGGGAGGGAGATGGAGCGAAAGAGAGCCGGTGGGGTCACACTGGCTTTAAGAAGTTCGCGGGCTGATCGTAAAGTTTTTGAGGTATACAGAGGTGGTCAAAAGTATTTGCACAAATTACACGTACTTACTCATAAGAAATGAGCAAATACTTTTGACCACCCCGTATATTAGAAAACTTTTTATATACTTGAAAAAAAGGACGTTCTTATAAATAACAAGAGAGAACGCTATAGTCGGGTGCCC